GAAAAAGTATGTTAAAGAGAGAAAGTAACATGAACAATTCTTGGAAACGGGACACTCGAAGGGATGACAATTTAGATTAATAGAAGGGATAAGGTGTTCTAAGAATAAAAGTCAGCATATGCCAAGGTATTAGAAATACTAGTTCCTCCAAAGTTTCCTTTATATTTTAGGTGTTTAGCACTGAACAGACATGTAGCAGACGCCTAGTAAATAGATGTTGATTTAATTTAGAGGCATGTTTCTAGGACTGCAAGAAGACTGATCTGGATGAAAATTTCATTTTGAGGACTAATGAGAAATAAGGATAATTATCTAGATCTATCCAACTGTAGATGTGCCTCCAGGCTGAGAGATGGATGTAATACTGGCTGTAGTACTAAGCCTGCTTTTGATTAGGAGTAATGAAATAAGCATGGTGACAGATGAGGATGACTGTGGTACTCATGGTAAACCTGATTGTTTGATAGATCTGGGCAAGATCCAGACCAGGGGAAGATGGAGAGGGCAATACTAGAGAAACAGTAGCTAACTACCTGAGTCTGCTTGTGTGACCTGGGACTGAATTTTAGGGTGAGGCCAGGAGTGAATTTTAAACTAAGTGTAGTTATTAGGACATGAAGATCAGAGATTGTACATGAGGAAGTAGGTGAACTTAAAGCAGGAAGATCAATAAGAAGCCAAGATTTGGGAATCTCACTTCTCATGGATACCACAGGTCTGGTTATTTTTAGTGGATGTGTGTGTGTGTGTGTGTGTGTGTGTGTGTGTGTGTGTTATAGCTTGGGTCAAACACATGCCAGTTTGAACCATAGAATATCTTAAATGCATCTCAATTTACCTAACACTCCAGATAAAGTTAAGATTAAGAGAGAAGAGCTATCAAGCTGTTGAAGAAATAAAGGTTTATAGTATTAAGGAACTTGGCCATTGTAGAGCACATTGCTCTCAATCAACTCAAGGATAAACTGAAGCTTCTTTTCTAAGACAGGATTGGCCTTGTTAATTCACTGCCTTTCTAATCAAAGTCCTCAGAAATTAGTAATGACAAGAGGGAAATTATTCATGGAAATACAGATACGACAGGGCTATTTTATACCTCCATATCAGATGTGGTTTAGTCTTGACATTCTTGCTGATGAAAAATTGTCCTCAGAAAAGGTGATCAACTAGTCATTACTAAATATTTTTTTAAGCTAACTACTGATCCAAAGCAGTCAAGATTTCTCTTGATCCTACTAGGCTAGCAAATGTGTGGCATGCTGAGTAGGCATTTAGCCCCCTCCCCCCATGGCTCACTCTGCCAGGTGTGATGTCCCCTGGCTGCATCCATCAGATTTTTGCATCCACTGCCAGAGCTTGACCTGCATGTTAGCTTAGTTCCTAACCCAGAAATCAATAAGCACCAACCGAGCACCTGGCTCAGAATGAAATAAATATTGCTGCTAGTTTCCCACTGACTTTGTGCCTTTATGGACCAGAAAAAGTTTATAGCCACCTCTCCCACAAGGAACAGGGTTGTTGTAAAGGCTACAATGTGGTTATTTTGTCAATTAAATAAAGGTGAGACTTTAACCCACTGATTTCCCATTACTACTTTCATATAGCAGGAGACCTAGCAAAATATGGCTGCTATTTCTGGGGAAAAGGCCCAGCAATCTGTTTTTCTGATTGCTTTTAAATCTTCTCATGTGCCAGGGAAGCTAAACAAGATCTAGAGGCTGTTCGCACTCCCCTGGCCTGAGCAGGGGAGGGACGAGGAGCCCCGTGTACTGCAGCATGTTCTTGTGCTTCCATTTCGTTCCCGCCAATCAGCCTGCCTTCATCAAGGGAGCAATCTGAAACTAATTGTGTGATTTTTAGTAGAGAAGCAAGAAGAGTAGGCCCCAGCCATACCAGCAATCTAAGTAAAAAGAATTTCCTCTGTGGACTGGCATAGTGAGTAAAAATCAAAATGAGAATGTATTTTGGCTGGTAATTTTCCTCTGTGCATGTTTTCCACAGAGATTTAATGGAAGGGAGCTTATTTAGGAGAAGCCTCAAAGATTCAAGGCCCCCTTTCAAGAATCTTGTCTTCCTCTCCTTAGTATCCTAGTTTCAGAATAATTGACAACCTTGTACTTTAGTGTCCTAGCAATTGCATTATCATCTTTCCTCTTTGTGACCCACACCCTGCTTTATACTGTGGTCACATGAATGGACTTTGGACCTTGATCCTAACACTGCCCTCTATTAATGCAGGACACTTATGTCCTTTGACCCAAGCTGATTGGCCCTTTAACCAAGGGACTGCTCCCTCCCTGCTTACATGACACTTTTGATCTCAGATCTCATGGTACACGTGACCAGCCAATCCTTTTTGTAGAGTCATCTCTTTGTCTAAGATCTTCCACTGGACTCATCTGCAAGTCTCAGATGACTAAAACCTAATCTTGCTCCTATAAGGTGGCATATATCTCTACCTTATCCTTTTGGACTCCTTCTCCTGACTTCTCTTAGTCTAGTTTTTGGTTCATTGTCCCACAATTCTCCAGGAGATCATAGTGGAAGAATCAAGTCCTTGGAGCCAAAGAGTTCTCTCTCTAGCAGGTAGGCAGGATATACTCTACAAAAGATAAAGAGTAGGATGAGTTTTCTCAGGGTCTGCTGCTGAGTGGGCCTTCAAGAAAATATTTGATTTTTGCATACGTTTTGTATTCATATTACGTAAGGGACTGCTCAATTTCTCACCTCCAAAACAAACATCCTCCCAGGTCTTGTGTCCTCTAAGCATTAATGACCACATGTTTTTCTTCTGTTTATCATGTAACCCTTTACTGTGTGGTTGTTGGTCTTAGTCAATGAACATGCTTCACTGTGCTTCTCAGGCAGGTATAGTTCTCTCTACTGACTGAAAAGATCACCTGTCTACCAGTAGAATCCTATAACCCAAGGCATCGTAAAGGAAGAACCATATAAAGGTGTGAATTTCAAGTCAAATTGTCTTTTAAATACCTTTATTTTCAGTCTCTTCAGAGATGTGATTAAGAGCAGTTGATCTATCCTTATATTCTTCAGCTAAGAAAGGCAGCATGAACACCCCTTGATCTTTGACAAAAATACAAAGTTTCTTTCAAAATGGACAACAGGAAGAGTTAAAAACTTATGAGCAAAGCTAAACTGGAAAATCGAGAATAACCTGCTCTTCTTTTATTCCTTAGCAGCAGAGTTTATTCCCAGTATTAGCTGGAGAGTGTCTTCATTTTTCAATTTAATTGCCTTAAAGATGCAGTTGGTAGTAGTGACTAAGGCGTATTCAGAATAGAGGCCATTCAATTTGTTACTGTGGTCTGAAATGTAAGCTCCTCACCAAATCCCAATAGGAGTGATGTCAGGACCTTCAGGCTACTTGCCCTTACCCAGCACTGCCTCCTGCACTAGGTGAGCTTCCTTAGTTCTCCTGCCTCATGACTCAGACGTGCATCTACCTCATTTTTTCAGACAATAGACAGAAGACAATATAATCTATGAATGTGATTGCTGTCTTAAATTTCCTTAGAGGGGAAGTGCTTTCAGTTCTTTGGGGAATAGATCTACCTTTAGAGAAAAGATTGTTATAACTGTTTGTGATTAATAGCATACTTCACACTCATGAATCCAGGGTGAGGGAAAGCTTGATTCATCTAGAAAGGCTTGTAAGTACTGGATGTGATTTTGCCAAATTATAATAATTTTATAATACCAATCACTTTAATAGAAACCACAGCATTTGGCTCCCACTGCAGCATGGTGAGATAGGTATGGCAAGAATTATCATTCCTAATGGGACAACTGGGGTTCTCCAGAGAGTAGGTGCTTTCTCCGAGGTCATAGGTAGCGGTAGGTAATTTTGAAGTCTTTTCTAACTCTGAATGTACTGCTTTTCTACAAAACACTATTACTTCCTCAGTTAAAGTATGCATGTATATATCCTTAGTCTTTATATACAACCATCACATAACCTAAATTCAATTAGTGTTTATTCCTTCATTTATCCTTAATAAATTAGTTCATTAGCTTACATCCTTAATACATAAGTTCATATGCTTATAAACTAGCAAAATTAACTTAGTTGCAAAATATACATTTGGAGAAAAATATAAAAACCACTAAGGACATACTATAATTTAGTATGGTTTTTATCCTAAGTGGTACCCCAGGAAATAAATCACTCAAAATGACTTATCATGTAGCTGTAGCCTATAATATGGAGTAGAGGTTCTAAGACTTAGTATGGTCAGAAGCACCTAGAGAGCTTCTCAAAATTTCAATTTAGAGTCCCTTGACTTGGGGGACTCAGGGATCTTCATATTAATACTCTATGCTGATGAAGACAACACTTTCAGAACTTCTAGTAAGTAGACAAAATCACAGAAACAGAAAATAGAAGGAAGGTTTTCAGGAGCTGGGAGAGGAAAAAAGCTCATGTGTAAGAGACACAGAGTTTCAACCTGGGAAGATGAAAAAGTTCTGGAAGTGGATGGTGATGATTGTTGGAAAACAGTGTAAATTTACTTAATGATGCTGAGCTATACACTTAAAAGTGGTTAAAATGGCGAATTTTGTTATGTATATTTATGAAAATTAAGAAAAACTAGAATTTCTAATGCAAGTAATGGCCATTCATTAAAAATATCCATGAGTCTTTGCTTTCTTATTAAGTGTTGATAAAGAAAATAGATATCTCCAGCTTAAAATGTCATGATTTGTGATCAATTATGGATTCATATTATATGGTAGTTCATTTCTTTATGACAGAGCAAAAATAACAGACTAACTGAAAGGATTGATAATGCTTAATTTTTGTTTCATTAAAAGAAAGTAGATTTCTTGTATATCCAATAGTCTGAGCAAACTAATGGGAGTATTAGAGCTAGTCACTCAATCTGCATTGCAATGATGGTTCCTCCAACTGCTTTTCTAAAATAGATTTTGCCTTTTTTTTTTACAATAAAAATGTGTAGTGATACTCATGCTCTTTTCAGGATAGGGTGTGGGCCAATGTGGGGAAGAGCCTGAACTGCATTATTGCTATGGTGGATAAACTGATTGAAAGAGATGCTGTTAGTGAAGGCAGCGGTGGCAGCCAAGACGGGGAAAAGGACTCTTCATTAGCAGACTCCATCACATCTCACCCAAGAGGTAAGGAATCATTTTCTCCCAATTATTGACTGAGTAAACAAAATGAGAAAGTCATGATAAAATGAGATAGAGAAAAAGGAGTCAATAGTGTCTTTGATGAAAGTGCTGATAGCATACTTTTCCACTGCTCTGGCTTGGATGATGGAAAGCTATTTATCAAATTGCATCTCAGTTGTATTTTCAGAACTGCTTGCAATGCTTATTTTCCCTTCTTACTACATAAAAACATTCTTGAAAGAAGACCTTTGTTTTCTTTTAAAAAGTCTGACATAGTTTAATTTACTTTTACACATTCCCCAAAAATTGTATTGGGAGGAAAAACAAGCATCTACTTTTAACCCTTAGAAACACTGAGGAATATGAAGACAGTGTATTTCATAATGGTTCCTGCACAGAGAACAATATGATAGAATGATTTTTGCCTTATTCTGAAGAATATTTTTTGTAAATTATCCCAAAAACATAGAAGAAGATTTGATTGTGAGGAATATGTTAGTACATTACTCTAAAAATATATGACAAGGCTAGCTTTTTATGAATACACACACACAAATGCACACACATGCATATTCATAAATATACATGAGAATGTATATGTGTGTTTACAAAAAGATAGGTATATAGGTATGTAGGTAGATAGTAGATAGTTAGAGACTTTAAATGTATTTCTTGTTAGAAGTTTGGCTAGCAAATACAAACAAAATTTTAACTACAGATGTGTGCCTATAAATAACTTTTTAACTTTTTAAAAATTTTATTAATGTTGACTAAGGCAAGTATCTGCATTTCTAGCAGTAGGAATTGCTAGTGGGGTGGTCCCACACTATTTTCTAGGTATCCTAAATGTCTGGAGAGAATAAACAATATCCTTCTACTCTCTTCTTCTGAAATCTGTTCTTTTACTTTAAGAAAATGAGTCATAAAAAATATGGACATTTAAAAAATTAGATTTATGCTTTTCCAATTTGTTTTCCTGATTTTTCATTACTCATATTTTCATCAAGAGTTTAATTATGCAAAACATCAATCTTTCATTACTTGATTAACAGTAAAACCATTTCTAAATCATATTTGTAAACTATGGCTTTCTAAAGTTTTCTTGTTGTAGATGGTCCCTCTTCCTTTATTGTATAATCACATACTATTTGTGATTGTCTTGGTCTAGCTGTTTATGGAGATTTTCTTATTTAATAATATCAGTTTTATTAGTTAATAAATCTAGTCCAGTTTCATAACTCTACATGGATCTAAATGAAAGCTTGTCATAGCTGTGTCATAAAGAAATGTATACTTCAATTTTCTTTAATTGAATGTACATTGACTATCAACTATGGGTCAGACGTTGATGTGCTCTGGAAAATGAGGCAAGTAAGATGAATTAATTTTAGTGACTTACACTTTTCATTGATAACTTTTCAAGACATTATTTTTAAGCAGAAATAAGAGATAGTGGACTTTGCTATATTTTTTGTTTGATGTTGCCAAAACTTTTCATTGAAGAGAATAAATTTCCAAAATATTTGAATTATACAAATATCTAAAAAATATTTGAAATGGTCCCTAAAAGGCCAAATAGCCTATGCCACTGCATTCTTTTTCCTAATCTAGCCAGTTGTATCTTATCAGAAGATTGCATCTGGGTGATCAAAATTGCATTTTAAAGGTAAAAATATTTGGCAAATAAATCATCTGTAAGATTAGATGAGTAACTTTTATTTGATTGTGAGGCATTGTGTGGTTATAATCTTAAACCAGATAGAATTGCGGCAGATGTAGAATTCACAACTTGATCAGTGTTGCGGATAATTAGAGTCAAACTACAATATATTGCCTTCTGATTTCTTATTTTTTTATTTTATTATCTATAATTATTTCATTCATAATCAATCCTTTATTGTGTTATAATTTTTCAGGAGATGTCACTATTTAAATGTGTACAATAAAATATTTTTCTGAAATTATTTAATGTGCTAAATATTGTCAAATAATTTTAAAGTTAAATCGCTTATTAACATTTTATATGCTAGATAATTGTATATAGACTACATGTTTTGAAGAGGATATTGGTACATAAAAGAAGATGCTTATGTACAAATGAAACTCTTCAAGTATACTTAGAATATATTACAGATGCTACTGCATAACTGGAGTAGAATTGATTAGCTCAATCAATTATTTAATAAAACATTAATTTTCTACTTACTAATTTATAGCCTTCCTCTTAAATTAGGAAAAAGTCACGTGCAGTTTCTACCATGACTTTTGTCCCATAAAGCAATGCAGTAGAGAAATTTATGGTGACTTTTTGAACTAATATATTGCAAACAAATAGCCTAAAGTCACATATTTACCTATACTATCCACCAAACTATTTCTGATAAAGATATTTGATGTATGCATGCACTGATGATACGTGCCCCAATTTACCTGTATTTTAAACATTTTATAAGAAAAAGTGATAATTTAGAAAATTTGTGAAGAAGAAAAAGAATTATGTCTGATTTTCATTTTCTTATTTCAATAAGACGTAACTATTTTGAACATTTCCTGTGTTTCTGTACACATACACACACACACATGCTCACACAAACACATTTTAAACAAATGGGAATATACATTGTAAACACAGATGTATATTTTGATATCTTGCATATCATTATATTATGAATAGATCCTCATAAACATTCTTTGGAAATAAGATTATAATGACTGTAAGTTAATTCACCAAAAGAGAAACCACTATTTTAGATGTTTAGTTATAATAATGTTGTAATTAACACATAAGCATCTTTGAATGTCTAAGTCTTTAACTACATTTCAAATATTTTTTCTTAACTTAGATTGCTAGAAGTAGAATTATTTTACAAAGAAAAGTTATCTCTTTTCTCCCACATATTTATTAATATTTATTTCCATGTGGACTCATGAATACTTTGATAATTTTATTTTTCATTTATAATTGACACATAATAATTGCACATATTTATGGGGTTGAATGTAATGTTTCAATGCATATATACATAGTATAATGATCAAATCGAAGTTATTACGATATCCATCACTATAAACATTTATGATTTCTTCATGGTGATAACATTCAAAATCTTCTCTTCTTGCTTGAATACTTACTCATTGGTTTATAATCCAATACTATTATTATTTATTTTGGAGTCAAATTGTTCTAGATTTAGCCATTTGGAGCTCTTTTTTTTTTTTTCAGATTGGCTTCTGTGTCCTTTTGACAACTTCCCCCCACATAAATACTCCCTTACTTTCTATCTTGATTTCCCTCACTTACTTTCTTATTTATTTATTTTTTCACTCACTTCCTTCCTCATTGGCACCATGAGGAGCTCTAGGTTCAACTTGTATGTTCCCTGTCCCAGCCCTAGATTCAGCTAATTGTTTTATCGGAGAATGGGATTTAAAAACCAACATCTGGATGGGTAGACAGGTTTTGATGGCTCTTTGTAACAATAGGTACTCTAATTATCAGTATCTATAAGCACCCCCCTAACTATAGTCTTCCTAGCCTTAAATATTTTCACTGATTTCATGACATTTTGGGGGAAAATATCACGTTGTAATTTCTGGTTATCTGTGAAGTTTGACATTGTTTAACTCATTACTATACTTCAAAATACTAGTTTTGGTGATAAGATCTATTTCCTCAATAGCCCTAAATTTATTGCAGCCCATAGCTGGGAGTGAAAGGCAATTTCACTCTTTTCTCTTTCATAATTTAATGAATTGATTGGGTCAGTGATTTGAGTCATCTAGTATTTATTACAATATATGATGTGATAAATACTGATAGGCATTTGTTGCAAAATGTTGGTAGTGATATTTTTGGTCATATTGTATCACTTTTTTCTTTATATATAAAATTCTGCAATTTTTTTATGTTTTAACCAATTTTTGGAATTTTATTCTTTTTCATAGAATTTTGATTATTGTGTTTTATATTGGGGTATATTTTTAAATCTCATAGAGTAAATCAACAATATAACAGTTTTTCATCATCACACTCCTTTATTTTTACATTTTAGCTATAATTTGTATTTGTTTTGCTGGTATATACTTACCATCTGATCTTCTGAGCTGTAGTTACCTTTATTTTATTTCTTATGCTCCTCTATAACCTACAGATATTTCTCTTTTCAATTTGCGGATTTTCATTTTTATAGTGTACTGATGTAATAATATTTTAAGTCTATAGTTTTGAAGATTTTTTGTTTGTTTTATTTTATTTTACTTATTTATTTTTTTAGAGACAGGGTCTTGCTCTGTTGCCCATGCTGTGTGTAGTGGCATAATTATAGCTCACTGCAGCCTCGAATTCCTGGGCTCCGGTGATCTTCCTGTCTCAACCACTCGAGTATCTGGGACTATAGATGTGTGTCACCATGCCCAGCTAATTTGTCTTATTTTCTGTAGAGAAGAAGTCTTGCTATGTTGACCAGGCTGGTCTTAAATTCCTGTCCTCCCAAAGTGCTGAGATTACAGGCATGAGCCACCATGCACAATGTGTTTGTTTTAGAACCAAGGTTTTATAATATATTTTTGCTTGTTTCATAAATTTATTTTCCTGGTAAATGCAATTAGTGCTAAGAGAAGTAAAATTTTTTTCTTTTTCTTTTTTCCTTTTTTTTTTTGAGACCATGTCTTGCTTTGTTGCCCAGGCTACAGTGAGTGCCGTGGTATCAGCCTAGCTTACAGCAAACTCAAACTCCTGGGCTCAAGTGATCCTGCCTCAGCCTCCCAAGTAGCTGGGACTACAGGCATGCGCCACCATGCCCGGCTAATTTTTTCTATGTATATATTAGTTGGCTGATTAATTTCTTTCTATTTTTATAGTGGAGACGGGGTCTCGCTCTTGGTCAGGCTGGTTTCGAACTCCTGACCTCGAGCAATCCACCGGTCTTGGCCTCCCAGAGTGCTAGGATTACAAGCGTGAGCCACCAAGCCTGGCTGAAGTAAAACTTTTTCTTCTGTTCTGA